AGAAAGAAAGAAGCGTGTCATCCCCAAATCCCACATCTCCCCATCCTCTCCTTTGCTTTTTCTCCCTTTTGGTAAATAATCCCAATATCCACTCCAGAAACTCTCCTTGGGTTTCTCTCACCACTGTGGCCTCTCATGTCTGCTCATTCCTCCTGTAGCTGCCCAATTTTAAGCTGTTTCATGTCTCCACCATTCTCACATAGGGACAATGAATATTATTTGTCAATATAATTTTTCCAATTTCTTTTAGAGGAGCCTGTGGTACTTTATTCATCATGCGAATGATGCTTGGGGTTGGGGTAATCTTCCCCATATCCCTCAGAGAAACAAGGATGAAACCCATGGTGAGCAGCACACTCACTCCCTCCCTTTGGGTTCACTTCAGCCCCCAAATGGAAGCACATTCATGTGAAAAGATAGATGCACACCATGTTCATTGCAGCACTTACTACAATAGCCAGGAAATGAAGCAACCCAAATGCAGATGAGATGAAGGGCTAAAGAAGTCACAGCCGACAGACATAATGGAATATGATACAGCCATGAAAAAAAGATGAAGCCCGGCAACTGTGGTAATCTGGACAGAATTGGAGGGTATTGTGCTCAATGAAATAATACAGAGGCAGAAGGATAAATAAAGGCTCTCTCATATCTTGGGATGCAGAAAAATGTTAAGTGTATAAGCAATATCAATTGGTAACAAACCTTGGGAACTGGCTTATAGATCTCAAGGTGCTAGGTTTGAGCAGAGAGCATGAAGGGGATGAAGAGGTTGATTGGAAGTAACAAAGGGGAAGAGTCTGGAGTACAGAGTCAGTGGCTAAGGGAGGAAAGGAAGTCAGATTGGAGGTGATGTGGGACCGTGGGCAGGGCCAAGGGCACTTCAGTGGCAGAAATGTGCAGTAATTTTGTTTATCAGTGCAAGAAACTTGAACACTATTGTAACCCTGTTACCTAAGCTATAATTAAAATTGTGGGGGAGGGAGATGGGTATTTGTGCCACATTCAGCTGTGCTCAGGGCTTACTCCTGGCTCTGTGCTCAGGGATCACTCCTGAAAAGACTCACAGGATCAAACTCCAATGGGCCGTGTTCAAGCAGGTGCCCTACCCACCTTGCAAATTCTCTTGCCTCTAAAACTTTTGTTTTGTTTTGTTTGTTGCTTTTGTGGGTCACACCCGGCGATGCACAGGGGTTACTCCTGGCTCATGCACTCAGGAATTACTCCTGGCGATGCTCGGGGGACCATACGGGATGCTGGGAATCGAACCCGGGTCAGCCATGTGCAAGGCAAACGCCCTACCCGCTGTGCTGTCTCTCCAGCCCCTAAAAATTTTTTTAAGGTGTGAAAACAGTGGAGAAAGAGTGCTCTGCACTCCACACCGCACGTTTATCGATAGAGCCAAAGAGCTCAAAGTCTCCTCCAGAAGGAAGACTCTGATTTGGAGTAACAGTGGTTAGAATCCAAGTTCTCAAAGCAATCTTGGACCTTTAAATAAAGTTGAGGCCAAGGCTGGGGAGGCTGCTCTGGCAACACAAGTTAGTTGACACAAGCACCCAGGGTGTGTGTGTGTGTGTGTGTGTGTGTGTGTGTGTGTGTCTAACTTGACCTGAAAATGTAGGTTGCCCAGGTTTCCCATAATCAAAATACTGACAATGTACTTGTGGGCTTCAGGCAGCAAACTGTACCCAATACATTCCCTTCTAGAAAGGTGATTTATTTTGGGTGGAGGACTGGGTTATACCTGGTGTTACTCAGAGACCCCTATGTGGTGCTGAGTAAACCCTGCCAGCTAAGTCCCTTGACCCGCTCACTAGCTCTCAGGTAATTAATTTCTAGGTTGAATAAAACTTGTGCAGGGAGGTTGAGGGTGGCAGGGAAACTCTCTTGGTTGGTAGGGTTCCCCAGGGGAGAGGATTCTGGGACAAGATAAGAGTTGGGAAGTGGCTCAGGACCCTACTGGGAGGCCGTATGAATGCAGCCATAAAAGCAGCTTCCCCATCAAGCTCCTAAACCTGTCACCAGTAAACAAACACGTGGATGTGAAAATGTTCCTTTAAGTCTCTAAAAATAAATCCGCATATGGTGTTGTTTGCTCATCCAGATGTTGATATTGCACAAAATTGTCATTATATTTTTTAAAAAGAGCCTAACTGGCTTTTGACTTATGGGGTAGATTGCATAATGGCCCCACCCCACACATTTCCCCCAGATATGGGTTCTAGTCACTGGGGCCTGGACTGAGACATTCAGAGCATCAGGCACTCAGCACTAGGTCATGGCATTGGTGAGCGAGGAAGGGGGGCTCTCTCCACCCTCATCACTGAGGTCTTGGAAATTGGGAGAGAGAGGCAGAGTGAGCCATCCTGAGAGAGAGCAGGACTATATCATTATATCCTGTCACTAGCTTATAGAGGGATGAAAAGGGAAATATTCCAGAAAGTGGGAAAACCAAGGAAACAGATTTTCCCCTAGGATCTCAAGAAGGAACACTGTCTATGGACTTACTGATTTTAACCCAGTGAACATGACCTCTGACCCAGAACTGTTAAGAGCATTAAATGTGTTATTGAAAGTAGGTAAGCTCGTGGTGATTTGGTGTAGATGCTAAATGGAATAAACACTGTGTATCTGTGTGATGGGCTCCTTCGCATCCTCGCTACCCATGTTTGGAATTGCAGAAGGAATCCAACTTGTCACTGTAAGCTATATTCTGCAAAGACCAAAGTGAAACCTCAGGATGCCTCATCAGGGAAGAGAAACTAAAAGACTTCTGGAAATCTACTCCGGTTTATCATCAAACCTAAGTACAAACTGGTCTGACTCTCAGACTTCGCCCTGACCATTTAGGAATGTCTGTGGGTGACACCCTTTTAAATGGAGTTTGCATTTTCAATTAAATGCCAATTGAACTTGCATTAGATTTGCACTTGAGTGCACTGCACTGAGCCCATTTCTATCCACTCTGCAGGCTTTGCTTCCTTTCATAAGCGGAGTCTGAACGCATGCATGATTTGCTGGCCCAGAGCTTGCTGCCAGCCCTTTCCAACAGGAATTTGCTCAGGATCAAAGTGGAAACCTGAAGCTCAGAGCCCCCAGGAACCAGCAAAATCCCAACACAGACTCTTGCAAAGAGCTTAGGACAGAGACAAGATCTGGGATGTGACTTTCGAAGAGGAAAGAAAAGGGAAGAACTGAGTGGGAAGTTCAGTGAGATCTGGCAACAAATTCTACTTCATTCAGAAGCACTGAAAAACCTCGAGGCTTAGCCTAACAATAAAAGAATGCAGAAACGTTCTATTCGCAACAAGCAGTAGAGTAAGATGTAGCCTTCAGCTGAAAATGATTCTGTTGAGTTTAATCTCATTCATGACGCGGACATTCCTCTGGTGGAGGGTAGGATGCTGCAGGGTTTTCTCTATTTGTTTTTTTATTTATTTACAAAGCTGTTCATGGCTGGGTTTGAGTTTATACAATGTTCCAACACCCCTTTCATCAGTGTAATTTTCCAGCACCAGTGTCCCCAGCTTCCCTCCCGCCTCTCCACCCACCTTGCCTACCTCTCTCTGCCTCTCTCTCTCTCTCTCTCTCTCTCTCTCTCTCTCTCTCTCTCTCTCTCTTACACACACACACACACATTATAGGCTTATAGCCATTATGAGAGAGAATACAGAAGCTGCAAGATTTTCACCTTCAGGAACCTTCATCCTCAGGGTGCGGGAGGAGGGAACAAGAGAGCACCTGTGGATGTGGGTCCTTCGGCTGCAGGGGTCTTCAAACCCGGAGTAGGTGGGCATTTATGACCTGTTTCTGGTTCTGCTAATTAAGACCCGAAAGGTGACTGTGGGTTTGGGGGTGCCCTGGACTCCTTTATGGAGCAGAGGATGTCTCGCTCAGCAGAAAGAGGCACTTTACGATTCCTCTGGACATTCTGTTCTGGACGCTCTGTACCGAACACAGGGGGCGGCAGCAAGAGCTCAGCCAGCCTCGGCATCTCGCTCTGTGCCCTGTCTGCTGTTCGCTTCGCCTCCGTGAGCCCCACACCCCCTCCCTCCCTGCACGGGTCACCCTCGGTCAGTGTGGGGCCCGGGAAAGGCCCGGAGCCCGTGCATTTCGGAGCCCATGCATTTCGGAGCCCATGCATTTCGGAGCCCATGCATTTCGGAGAGTCCTCCCTGAAGGTCTTCATCACCACCGCCCCCAGACCCCAGCCAGTGGCTGGGAGCAATCTGAGCCGCTCCCCCCAACGCACGCAACCCAGAATAATCGGCGCCGAGCTGGAAAGAGAGCGCAGGGGAGGAACCACTCGCTTTACCGCGGCCGCAGCAGCCGCAGTCCGGTTCGAATCCGGGTCCCACTGGCTTCACTCCTGAGCAGGGGCAGGAACAGTCTCTGCGCACCGGGAGCGCGGGCCAAACCCTACCCCTGTGGGGGCAGCTGTGCGCACCCCCACCCCGCACCTGCGCGTGGTTCTCGCTCGCCCACGTGCGCGATCTCCCGCCTCTCCGCCCACCTGCGCCGTTTCCCGCTCCCCCTCCCACCCGCGCCATCTCCGGCATCTCCGCCCACCTGCGCCGTCTCCCGCCTCCCCGCCCACCTGCGCCGTCTCCCGCCTCCCCGCCCACCTGCGCCCTCGCCAGCATCTCCGCCCACCTGCACGATCTCTCGCCTCCCCGCCCACCTGCGCCGTCTCCCGCCTCCCCGCCCACCTGCGCCCTCGCCAGCATTCCCCGCCCACCTGCGTTGCATCCCGCCTCTCCGCCTCCCCGCGCCTACCTGCGCGATCTCCCGCCCCCCCCGCCCCTCCCCGACCTGCTCAGTCTCGCGCCTCCCCGCCCACCTGCGCCCTCGCCAGCATTCCCCGCCCACCTGCGCTGCATCCCGCCTCTCCGCCTCCCCGCGCCTACCTGCGCGATCTCCCGCCCCCCCTCCGCCCCTCCCCGACCTGCTCAGTCTCCCGCCTCCCCGCACACCTGCACGACCTCCCGCCTCCCACCCACCTGCACGATCTCCAGCATCTCTGCCTTGCTGATGTAGCCGTTCCCGTCCAGGTCGTACATGCTGAAGGCCCACTTGAGCTTCTGCTCCAGCTTGCCCCGCGAGGTCACGCTCAGGGCGATGATGAACTCTCGGAAGTCTATTGTGCCGTCCCCGTTGGCGTCGAAGGTGCGGAAGACGTGCTCGGCGAACTTGGAGGCGTCCCCGTAGGGGAAGAAGTTCCCGTAGATTTTCTTAAACTCTTCCATGGACAAGTGGCCACTAGGGCAGTCTCTCAGGAACCCCTTGTACCACTCCTGGATCTCGTGCTCCGTGAAGTCTGTGCTTTCCAGCAGGTCCTGCATCACCTCGGGCCGCAGCTTGCTGTTCTGTTTCCCCATCCTGGCCGGGTGCGGAGTCAGCTGCGGGGGAGAAGAGCGGGAGCTGTTTAGGCCGGGCCCTCCGGGGCGCGCTCTAACCTGCCGTGGTTCCTGGGGGGGGAGGGGGCTGGGGGGCGGGGGAGAAAGTCGTCCCTGAACCGCCTCACTGTCGATGAAGGAAAATGATCGCCAACAGGTGGAGGGGCCGGGGCGCGTCTCGGTGGCAGAGCTCTGGCTTTGCCTGTGGTTTGAGCCCCGGCACCACCTGGGCTCTGGAGCACTGGATTGGGAGTATCCCCAGTAGAGCCAGTGTGGCCCCCAATCAAACCAAACCAACCCTGAGAGAATCAGACAGGCCGAGGCAGCAGAGCAGAAATATGAGGAAGGGAAGAACTGGTGCTGCTTCTACGCAGAGAAGCCTTCAAGGATTCATGATGAAAGAGGGACAGGAGGGGGGAGAGGAAGAGCGGAAGAGGATGAACTGGTTGTTTAGTTCTGCCTGACCATTTATTTGCAAGACATGATGTCTGAATGAAGACTCGGGTTCGAACACCGAACCCAGAAAAATTAGCAGAAGGGAGAGAAAACAGCGATGAAAAGATCCCTTAGCACATTTTATTGCGAGAACATTTCCAAGCAAAAAGCTGCTTTGCTCTGAGGAGGATGCACCGGCGCTGACGAGGCCAGCACACACTGTCCCATTAGAAGCCACCCGGGCTGCCCAGACCCTTCCACAGAGTCTGTTTGTGGCCAACTTTGGGTTTAAATGGCAGCAAAGATGACGCAACACGAAGCTGCTTCTGTCTTGTGATCGTGGTTTATGCAACAGGCCAAACATTCCTTTTGAAAAAAACAAATAAGAAGCCCCGCTCCCCACCCCCACCCTCATGCCGGTTACTCAGGCGGGATCTGCAGAGGGATGGTTTGGGAGAAAAATATAAAGAACTAGGACTGGACGGATAGGACAGGGATTGCATCCTGCCACACCTAGTTCTAGCCCCAACATTGCAGTTGGCCCTTCGCACCCCACCAGGAGTCACTTTTGCGCACAGAGCCAGGAATAAATTCTCTCTCTCTCTCTTTTTTTCCTCTTTTTGGGTCACACCCAGCGATGCACAGGGGTTACTCCTGGCTCATGCACTCAGGTGTTACTCCTGGCGGTGCTCGGGGGCCATATGGGATACTGGGAATCCAACCCAGGTTGAACACATGCAAGGCAAACGCCCTACCGCTGTGCTATCACTCCAGCCCCGAATGCTTTTGAGTAAGGCTCAACCCCTCCTCTCCTAGTCAGCATTGCGGAGCTGCTTACTTAGAACCCTGCTTGTCCGTGAGCTGTGCCTGTGTAGACTTTGTTCATGTCTATTATGTCCGCATTGAAGAAAACCAAGAAATGCATCCTTCTGCTGTTCCCTCCCAACTGCTAAGCTGCACTGTGTGTGGGAAGAGGCCCCTTAGATTCCATTGTTCCCCTGCCCTTCTGGTCATATCACCATTCAACACTGCTGTATGCCACACGACGGATCTGTTTCTGGCCCTCAGGATGTAAAGAGAAGGAAAGGAAGGTGAGGCCTCGCCTCCCTCAGGGAACAGTATAGACTTGTGTCTATCTGGGGTGCTGGTGGCATCAGTGAGGGGCAAGAGAGTAGTTTGAGGTGATGCGGTAAAAGGCAAAGCAAACATGGGCGCTCTCAGGGAAGGCTTCTTGGATGAGGTGTCACCAGACCTTAGTTCCTGGCTCCAAAGTCTTGAGATTTCAGCATGGTCTAGAGAGAGCCTTTCTAGAGCAGATGGGGTGCTTGCCTCACAGGAGGCTGACCGGGGCTCAACCTCTGGCATCCTGTATGGTGCCCCGAGCTCCACCAGGAGTAATGCCTGAATGCAGACCCCTGAGCATCACCGGATATGGTTCCCAAAATGAAGAAAAAGAAAGGAAGGGAGGAAAAAAGGAAGGCAGAAGAAAACACCCTTTTCGCAAGAAGAGTCTGCATTTATATTTATATAAATGCAAGAGTCTTGCATTCTATTTTTTTCTTTTTCTATATAAGTAGAGAGCCTGAAAGTAAGACTTGGGAAATGATAGACACAGGGGACTATAAAACCCACTTCTTGGGACAGGCGGCTCATGGCCACTAAGCCGCCATCTGACTCAGTCGACCTTGGGATTTCTCCTTTCTCCCAGCCACGGAGATATGATTGACACAGCATCATCGTTGATGGAGAGCTTCAGTGGCTGACGTGTGTTTCTCTGAGATGGCATTGCCGTCATCACGGCAACCACTGCTAACACTCCTCACCTCACAGTGTCGAGTCATTTCCTTTCTGTCATGAGAAAGTTTAAGCTCTGCTACCCACGTGCTTCGGCAGGGCCCAGCAGCCCCAAAACTATTTATTTCCTGATTGAAAGTTGGTACCTTCTGACTCCCTGTCTTGCCCAACTCTCCCCCACCCCTGCCCCCCTACTCTCTTGCAGTGAATTGCTTGTGGTCTCCATTAAAAAAGAAAGTTCTAGAAGGCCATGTTGGCACTCATACCCACTCGAACTTTTTTCATAATATCCCAGTTCCTACAACGAGGAGTGATCCTGAATGATAGATTTTTGTTGTATGATTTTTTCCCCTTCTTCTTGCATTCTTGCTTGTTTGGTTTGGTTTTGATTTGGGGCCCACGCCCAGTGGTGCTCAGGGCTTACTCCTGGCTTTGTGCTCAGGGGTTCATTTGTGGATATGCTCAGGAGAACTTATGTGGCGCTGGGGATGGAATGGGGTCAGCTGCTGGCAAGACATGTGCTCTTCCCGCTGTACTCTTTTGGCAGACCTTGATTTCTTTGTTTTCGACACTGGAGGAATGCTCTGGTCCCTTTGTTAGACAGAGGGAGAATGAGCCTGAGCTCTGCAGGGTGAAAGGTAAAAGGTAAAGGCCCTCCCGTTGATCGTCGATTTGCTCGAGTGGGCCCAGTAACGTCTCCATTGGAGACTTTTGTTGTTACTGTGTCTGGCATATTGAATACTCTCGGTAGCTTGCCGGGCTCTCCGAGAGGGGCGGAGGAATCGAACTCGGGTCGGCCATGTTGGCCACTTGTAAGGCGAACGCCCTACCCGCTGTGCTATCGCTCCAGCCCTGCAGCTCTGCAGGGAGGAACTGATTTCAGGGGCCTGTTTTTTATGAGGAAGTAGCAAACGCTATTTCCACAGAGCAAACAGAATTTATCCATTGAATATCTCCATGACTTTTCCTTCCTGCTAGTGACTCCTTCCCCAGCCCACACCTCTCTTTTATTTTTCCTACAACGGGAAAAATTTGTTAGGGAGGGAGGCTGGTTTCTATTAGAATTCTGAAACTGTCATTTAGTTGCTAAGTTGGCAATTTGCCTGACGGGAGAATTCAGATACAGGAGCTAATGCATAATGCATGGGTTTACAGAGCTCAGAAAGAGTTTATGAAATTTCTAAGTTATTGGCAGGTTTTCCTTTTGGGCAGTGCTCAGAGCCCAGCTCTTTGGCATGTCCCTCAGATGTTCAATTAAATCACTGAGATTACTCTGTGCTTCTGTGTGTATCCTGGGCGCTTGGCCTTGGGATAAAAAATGCCATTTTGATATTTAAATCCACTCTCTTCAAGAATAATTTATTTCTCTGCATTTATGAAGCAGGGTTTCTTAGGAGGAAAAAACCCCAAAACTAGTTCCCTTGCTGAGGATTAAAAAGTGCTGCTCATTTATTAGCTATTTTTTTTCTTTGCACTAGAAACAAATTGTCTCAGCTTTTTGGCTAAGGCTTTCCTGGAGACTGATGTTCACAGCAGCTTTTTTTTTCTTTAAACAGTAATTAACTGACATTTACAAATTCATTAGTACAGAAAGACCTTCACACACACACACACACACACACACACACACACACACACACACACACACCACACGTGAACTCACGCCAGCAGAATAGCATGGGACGAGTTATTTGGGAAGTGGAGTGTTTATAATTCAGTCCAGAATTTGTTTCAGTAGATATCTACAAATACTTGCTGAAGCAGGATAGCGAGCCATCTGGACTTGGTTGCTGCACCAGGAAAAGCCCTGGGCCAGCTGGAGCTTCATTCCTTGAGGGAGTTGGGAGAGGCAAGGGATACCTTTTTCTTTGGGAAAGCAGGGATTCTCTGCTCATTGGAGTCAAAGAGGAGAAAACAATATCAGGGAAATGTTCCAGTCATTAACTGTCAAGGAAAAAAGTGATCTGGAGTTGGACTTCAGGTCAAATCCTTTTCTTTATTCCACTTGATCATGCGAACATTCATTTTATGCCTACTGGAGACAGAACTCAGGCCACCTTAGACACCAGACTCAAAGCCCAACTGACTTACTGATCAGTCCTGGAGGACTTCTGGTGCACCCCTTTTTATGGCTGTAAAATGAGTTCAGAGGTACATCTCGTCAGCTGCATGGAAGAAGGATATATTATCTCTGGAAAACTCCAGCCATTTTTTGGTGTGTGTGTGGGGGGGGGAGGTATTTGGGGTGATGGGGCTCTACCTGGTGATGCTCAAGGCGCCCTATGCAGTGCTGGGGATTGAACTTGGCTCTGCCACATGCCTTCACTCAGTGCTCTCGCTCCAGTCCTATGAATAGCTCCAGTATTGGATAAGGGCTGGGTAGTGACTGGAACCTTCTCCATGAGGGTGACACTATTCTATGGAACCTTTGAAGGGCACAGAAGGACAGGCAGGACAGCTGCCCGTACCCTATAAATGAAGGAATGGATACTTGGAGAGCAGACAGGGAGTGGGCCCCAGAGTAGTCCCCGCCTCCGAACTCCTGCTCTCAGCACAAGCTGCATTGACGTGCAGTTCCAGAAATTTCCAGAATGGAGCAACTTGTAGGAGGACGGTTCCTACTGGAACCCACATCCCCTAAACATGCTCAGAAGCATCTGGGCCTGGGATATGGCTCTAGACACTGGGAGCTCAGTCAAGAAGGGACAAAAGCACCCCTCCCCCCAACCCGTTCCCATGGAAGGTAATGGACTTGTGGCAAGGACATCATAACTGGGG